TCCCTGGATCCTTGACGCCGCCCCTTCCCCTCCCCTCAATTAAAACTGAAATTTTAATTTCAGATTTTGTTTAAATTCTGAAATCAATCTTGTGGTCCCCACTCGCATAAATTTACCCCCTCCCTCTTCTCTCTCTTGGCCGGCCCCTTCATTGGGCCCCTCTCTCTCCTAATCACCTTAATAGCTCCACAAAATCAGCCCCAACTCCCTCCTCTCATTACCGCCCCCTCTTCCTTTGGAATTAATTTTATATTTTCAAATTATTCCTTCCCATGTACTACAACATGAAATAATTTCAGTTTGCTGAAATTATTTCCTTAGCCCATCTAGCCTTCATCCACCAACCCGCCGCCTTCTTCCTCTCTTTCCCAATTCTTTTGTGCATCTTCCCGCCCGGCAAGAATGTATGGCGGAACCCGAGTGGAACTTTGGGTTTGTGCATGACGACCAAGATCAAGTTGACATCCTCCAATCACCGTTCTTTGACGTGGGCTTCTATTTCGACGACACTGTTGAAGATTACATCGACCGCATCCAGTGCACATTAGTTGATGTGATCGACGAGCAAAGATCAAAGGGACGTTGGATCATCCTTGGACGACCGTCATCCTCAACCACTCCGACCACCAATCCAAGAACGACAATCTTAGGCTCCTTCCTCGGAGTGACCTCGGTTCTAATGTGGAGACTCTTCTTCCGCTAAAGCCTAGACTAGTTGAGCGTTTGGGCTTCAAAGGTGAAAGTTCTCATTATTAAATCATGGATTCTTGTTTATCGTCGTAGTTTTTACAGTTGATCTTTGCATTTTCTTAAATTGTTTGGTTAATCGACTCCTCTCTTCTTAGCCTAAGCAAGTTAAAAACCACGAATTCCAAGGATCAAACTTTTGCCATAAGTGAAAATTTTATTTGGATTATTTTGTTTAAATTGCTCTCTTTAATTTCTTAAAGTAACTCCATCGCATGTTTTGTTTCACATCAGAAATATATATAAATGCTTGTTAAATAAAAGAGTTCACTCACTCATAATACTAGATGGGATGTGATCTATGCACATAAAATGAAAAATGTTGGAAAAGAAAATAAAAATGGAAATAACCAGGCCTTAATTGGTACAAACTTTAGAAGTCCTCTGCAAGTGATGCATTTATCAATAAATATAATATAAAATATTATTTCTCATAAAATGATACATTTATTTTACCAAATATGGCGTGTATGAATTCTCATAAGTGAAAGTTTAATGATTAGTTAGTATGACTCATATGAAAAAAGATTCATATAGCTTATCCCACGTAGTAGGATAAAGGCTTGATGTTGTTGTTGTTCTTGTTGTAATACTTTAAATTGTTATATCATAGAACTATAATTAGCCACTGAATTTGATGATTGAACTCAGCCCATTAAAATGAAATAATTTTAGATAAGACTCCTATAGAGTAGATGACTAACATAAGAGAAGATTTTGTATATAGAAAAAGAGGCATAAATGATTATAGATGCAAAGCTCCAATGCTTTAGATTCCAATTTAATGATTTTTTAAAATTTTTAATAAATTTGAATTATACATGTTTAAATTATGATAGAGAATTAGGTTTTAATTATTGTTAAAAAGAAATTTACTATCATCCAATTTTTTGTTCCAAACTTGGCATTTGAGGTACTCAGCTAAGTCATAACAAAAGTAGTATAAAAAAAAGTATTATTTTAGAAAAAAATGAATCATAATGAAATAGCAATTAGGTTGATCATTAAAATTTAGGAGAATTGTGAAGGACAGGCTGATTTGATTGGGAGGAAAATAAGAAGTTTCCTAATCAATAGGGAGTTGTTTAAAATAGTTCTTAATTAAAGGGGATTAATTAGGATATATTTTATAATTGAAGAGAGCATATTTGGGGGCTGATTTAGAGGGGATTAATTAGGAAATATTTCTTAATTGAAGAGGGAAGATTTGGGGGCTAATTTGGAGGGGATTAATTAGGAGATGTTTCCTAATTGAAGAAAACATATATAAGGGCAGATTTGAAGGCGATTAATTAGGAAATGTTTTCTAATTGAAGAGGGCAAATTTGGGGACAGATTTTGGAGGGAAATAATTAAGGAAATAAGAGGCAATTGGGGGAGGGTTGTTTGGGTATTTGATGTTTATTGTTTGCTTTAAGTAGGGTGTTTTTCCTAAGATTAGGGTTATGTGTTGTTTACTAAATTTAGATTGTTCTTAGGTTGTTTAGGCTATAGCCGGCAGCTAGAGATTTGAGAGAGCTGGATCTTCCTCTCCAATTGAAGATCTGCTTGTATCTTCTCTTTTCTTTCATAAAACTTTCAATCAAAAAAGTGTTCTTGTGTGTTAGACCCCTGATTGTTTGTCGTAGGTTTTTCTGAAATTGCTAAAATCAAATTTCAGCTAAAGCTTTTTTCTAAATTTCTGCAAGCACTTCCAATCAAATTGGTATCAAAACACTATTTGGGACCCATGGTGGAAAGGAAAGTTGATGCATTGGAAAAGCATCTTAAAGAAAATGTTGGTCAATTCAAATCAGCGTTTGAGGACAGAATGTCATTGATGGAGGAAAAGTTTTCCAACCTAGAAGAATTGATAAATAAGATGTTGGATCTTCATATTAAAGGATATTATCAACATCAATAGCATTCAATTCCTATCAAGCAGGTATGAACAAATTTACTAGAGTAGCTGAATCTGATGAAAAGTTTTGTTTAATAAATCCTGCTTATACCAGGCAAGATTCCAAAGCCTATATAGTTTTTCAATCTCAAGTGAACAAGAATTCACTGATCTCACCTATGGAGAATCTGGCTCCTGTCAACTCAACATTAATGGTTACATTGATAGATGACATGGTTGTGATTTTGGAGCCACTTCCAAAGAGAGGAAATGGCGAAGGAATGAGATTTTTGGTGGAGCTGTAGAGTTTAGAAGGCGAAGAAGATGGGAAGAATATAAAAGCACTATACATGGTTCAGCAACTCCTACAACAGTATCAAGAGGTGTTCCATCCAATTCAGGGATTGTCTCCTCCGCGGGAACACGAGCATGCTATCATCTTGAAGGAAGTAGTCTCACCTATGAGTGTTCGTTCGTACCACAACAACAACAACATCAAGCATTTGTCCAACTATGTGGGGTCGGCTACATGAATCCTTTTTCTTCATTATGTCATGTTAAAAGTCAAATTATCGTTTAAATCTAATAAAGATATATCATTTATAATATTTTCTAACCAAATCTTTTTAGGTCTACCTCTATCTTTCTTAATATAAGTCAAATATAATACCTCTAATTTCCTAATCGGATCATCGAAAGACCGTCGTTTTATGTGACCAAACCATTTAAGGCGTCTCTCTCTAATCTTATCTTCCACTAAAGCTACTCCAACCTTTTCACGTATATGCTCATTTTGTATCTTATCTCTAAGGGTAAATCCACTCATCCACCTGAGCATCCTCATCTCTGTAACACTTAACTTAGTATTATGATTCTCTTTTAATGGCCAACATTTTGCACCATAAAGCATTGCAGGTCTCGACACCATCTTATAGAATTATCCCTTAAGTTTGAGGGGGACTTTTCTATCACACAATAAGCCCGATGCATTCCTCCACTTCAACAATCCAACATGAATTCTACTGATAATATCCCCATCTATTTCACCATCACTCTGAACAATATATCTAAGATATCTAAAACGTGTACTTTTATTAATAACTTGACTGCCCAAAGTAATAATCCCCCACTAGATCTATTACTACTAAAATTACACTCCATATATTCAGCTTTAGATCTACTAAAGCGAAAACCTTTAGACTCTAAGGTTGACCTCCATAATTCAAGTTTACCTTCAACTCCCTCTCTAGTCTTATCAACAAGAAGAATATCATCAACAAAAAAGCATACACTAAGTTGGATAAAGCCTACATGCAAATAATTTTAATCCCTAATTGTGTATGTTTTGTATTAGAAGCTTACATAGGATTGTATAAATTGCGTACCAATTGAAATATTACCAGCCAAAATAAATATTTCTCCAACTCTTATCAAGAGGTGTGAAGTAAAAGAAATACATGATTTTTTATTTTTGAGGTGTTTGATATGAAGTAAAATTATTGCAAACTATTTTTTCAGGGATTTGCAATCCCTAAAATCCTCATGTTTTTGTGAATTTCAAATTCAACTCAATTAGGTGAATTCCAAAAAAGTTGTGATCCTTGACCTGCCCTATGACACGAGCTGTGATGTCCCCAATCCAGCCCCGCCACCATCGTCTAACGTCACTTAGCTTTCACCCCTCCTACTACTATCATCCCCGGCCCTACCATCCTGATTTTTTGAACTTGATCCCACTACTATTGTCCCCAAACAAGCCATCCCGACCCTATGATCCCAATCTAGTCATGATGCCATCATCCCCATCAGTTATGGTGTCATCCTATACCTTCATCCACCCAACCTCCTTAAACTTCCCCATCATATTATACATATAAAGAGAGAGAGAGAGAGAGAGAAAGAGAGAGAGAGAGAACCTTTTCATTATATTTAAATTGGATCTAACTAACAAACAAAAAATGTTTCATTGCATTTGATTTGCATCCAAAGAAACAACACCTTAAAATCAAATTACATTACATTATTTTTACTTTGCATTTCTAAAATGCAAACATTTTAAGAACATCCAACCAAACAGCCCTTACGTCACAAGAGCTTTCTCTGACTAATACTAAGAAAACCACTTACCAGTGTATCAATGACATTTTCTCAGACAATGCTAATATAAATTTTCAAGGCAAGCATGATTGTTGTAAAAAAAAAAATGTGATGAATTAAACTACTATTATAAAGTTCCAAGTCCAGTGTGTTTATTTTTTCTAGAAACTTAACGCAATAAGATAAACTAACCAATAACCAGCAATGCAGAAACTTGACAAATTTAACAATGGAAATGAACATTTCTGCTGCAAAACAAACATCATAATAAACATACCACCAGCCGCCATGCCTGATGCTGCTCCGAGAGCCTCTAACAAACCTACAACCATGAATGGAATCTTTGGTAGAGAAAGCATCTCATCCGTAACAATACCAGCATGATAGCGGCCGTAAAGGATAGAGAAGTATACCACCACATACCTGCAATAGAGATACTAGAAAATTGGTTTTTTTTTTCATCTCTCTAGACACACAAAAACAATAGAAAACCGTCCATTCAAGGATTATCTGAGATGTATCACCTTCCCAATTAATATGTATTGAGATGTATCACCTTCCCAATTAATATTGCTCTAAAATCTTTCCCCACAATTACTTACTAGTTCAGGTAGGTTTTGGTGTATTTTGGATTCAACCAATTGTATGTTTATGCTATAGAAAAATACCTTATCAACTTACTTCACCAAACACCAAATTCTCCGCATAAATTATATACCAAAATTCTTCCAATAAGAGCAAAGGTGGAGCAGTATCAAAATTTCCTCAGAATGAAATAGTTTCTAAAATCTATATAGCAACTGAAAGGAGATGGGATCCACGGTCACGTAAGACAACTAATGGAGCATCTGCCACGCCCAAAAAGCAGAACATTCCAGAATACACTCAGAATCCTAACATTGTAGTTGACAAAAATCAAACCCCACAACGATCTCAGCCGCCCAAACATTTACCTAACAACATAACTAAACGGGACACAAGCCTTACACCATTACGAGGTATGGACATCTTATAAAACCAAGATTACAGTAATTTTCCTATTTTGGGGGATTATTGAAATTTTACTTTCTGTAAATAAATATATAAAAGAAAACTTCAACTACCAGCAAGTGAATACGAGTTTTTTATGGGACAAGTAAATTTGTTAAAGAAGATTTTCCTTCCACGTTCATTTTTGTACCAAAGTAGCAATGATTCGTAGCATCAGATAGCGTTCCCATGATTGATTTCACAAGAAGAAAAAGAATAGAGAAGAAACGATGAGGAAGGAGGCACTGACCCGAACGTGGCGAGCTGCGCTAGAAAGAAGGGATACCGCTTTAGGGGGACGAGTGCGAGCTTATAGAACACCCGATTCCCAGTCCCAAGCACCGCCGTCATTACAGCAGCCGCGACCACTCCGGCACGCCTCCTCCGCTCCTCCTCCTCCTCCGCCTCCGCCACCATAGGAAGCCCCTGCCCATCAAAATCCCCAATCCTCTCCCCAACAGCATTTAATCGTACTTCTGTAAACGCTCGATCCCGTACATGGCCCCGTCTCCTCCCCCATTTATGCTCAGAACAGCGCAGCCATACAGCTTCCAGGACCAGCAATCCACCCACCGCATCCGCCGCCGGAAGTCGCGATCGATGCGCTGCCGGCGCATGAACCGCGACCGTCCGGCGGCGATGTCGCCGTAGCCGATCCTCATACAGCAGAGTGAGATCTGGAGACGATCGACAGCAAGCGGACATCGAGACAAGGCAGGAAGATCAGAGAAAATCGTAAAAAAAAACGGATCAAATGACTGAAATGATTGGATCTTCGCCGAGATCATGAAAAATGTGGAAATTATTGTCTTTCGCTGTTCCGAAAAAGACTGAGAGTGCGCTATCGCTGTACTAAAGGTAGAGGTATTAAAGTATTGCAAGTGAAAGGAGAGAGATCATAAGTCCCAAAAAAACAAAAAAAGGAGAGAGACCCTTCCACTATTAAAACAAAACAAAAAAAGGAGGCGGCATCGAGATTCCATGGCCGCCTCCCGCGACGGACGTAATCATTCGGAGCTCGCCGCAGCATCAGCTACAGACTGGTAAGCAGCACGCAGGTTTTATAGCAAATGAGTTATTCCGGGGTAAGGGACACGTGGCGTAATTTCTTCTCTTATCGCCGTGAGTCGAAAATGGAACGTCCCGGTTGAGTAGAAAAATGGAACTTGAATTCGTTAGTCGAATCTATGGCGCATTGCGTTACGGGTCTATTAGCGGCGGCTGAAGCAATTTATATTTGAGGAAATTATAAAAAGAAGCGTAGTTGAATTGGAATTTAGTTAGAGGAGCATAAATTCTATATAATACTAATCAAATAATTAGATAGCATTGTGCTAAAAATCGATTTCTATAAAATGGATTAAGTATATATATACTCAATGGATCAGATATTTTGATACGATTTTGATTTTGAAGCTGTTAAATTCATTTTGAGATGAGTACAGTATCAATTCATCGTGCATTATAAAATTTTCAAAATAATTCCAACAGATTTTAAACGTTTTTTTAATCTTTTTATTCACTATTCAATATATTCCTATATCAGAATATATGCGAAATGAGCATGCTTTAGCAATGATTTAAGATCTTTAATGGATGTTTTCTCCCCTGCCATTCAAGCTTTTATATAAATATGCAACCATATGATTATTTATGGGATTTTGTGATCAATGCATCAAACAACAAAAAAATCAAAAATCAAAAATCACATAGCAACATCTAGAGTATACATCAACAAAACAAAGCATCAATAGAAGGCAAACAGATACCTTCTGAAAGCTAGCCATAGCCTTTTATGGACGCAGACAGCATTGAAGTCATCAATGTCATACGTGACCATACCTTAGGATGCGACGGGAAGCTAGCCTCAGTTTGGGGAGACCGAGCAGGTGATCGATTCGACCAGTCTTCTTCACAAACGTCGTACAGTCGAGCGGAGCAGGCGAAGTAAAGAACCACAAACAAATCTTCCTCAAAGTCGGCGTCAAGCGAGCAGCGAACCATGAGAGAAAATATAAATTATGTCTTCGAGTTTAGCGAAGCAATAGAAATTAGGCTTTTTTTTTTTAATTAAAGCAGTTTTTTCGCTTATGAAAATTAGGTGCGGTTCTTTTAAAATTTTTGGGGGGGGGGGGGCACATGCCTCCCGAGCCGAGGTCGAATTGGATGGCGTAACAAATAATAATATTTAAAAAAATTAATAAAATTAACGTAATAACTGAGTAAGAAGAAACTATGTAATTAGTAACTTTAAAGTTTTTGGTCATATTGTGCCCACTTTTAACTTCTAAATACACTCACAACTAAACTAACAACTCATAAATCCTACATGAAACCAAATAAGAAGAGCTTAGATCTTCTCTAAGAATAACGAAAACTAATACACCATAGAGAAAGTAGGGAACAAGCTTCAATCTTGATCTTCTTTAATATTTTAATAGTAAATACTAAATAACACATCTGAGAGAGTGCAAAACAAGCATCCAGCTTGATCGTTCTTAAGGGCATTAAGACAGTAAAGGAATTATTAAATCCTTGGCAGAAATCCTTCACAAACATTTAAAAAAAAACAAACAAAACTAGAAAATTTAGGGTTCAAAAAACTTACATCATAGGATTTGAAGTAAATAGGAGAAGGAAGTGTGATACCGAAGAGGAATAATGACTTCGTTGTAGCCACTCATCGAGTCAGTTAAAAAACGAAAAGCGATGTCGAGCAGCCGAGAATGAGAACCGAGCGTCGCCTATTCATGCGAATGATAAGCAGCGAACATAATAGAATGTGATAGGAATAGGAATATTAGGTTTTTTACTTCTTAATTTTTCCTCAAACTTAGCTCAATATCTTTCCTACAACTGAGATCGCATTTTAACTGAACCGAATGATTTTTTTAAAATCAACGTCGATTCATCGGTTTCACAGTCCGACCATCAGGTCGACCGGTTCAACCCTGATTTTCTGCTATCCCAGTTTCGGGAATTAATCGAATTAACCGACCGGTTAGTTCACAGTTCAACCGGTTGAACCAACTTTTTATGGTTGGTTTTAAAAACCTTGGATACACATGCTACTACTCATATTGATGACTATATTCTTATAATTATATGTTACACTGTTGTGGATTGAATTATTACATGAACTTTATTTTTATTATCTTGTATTAGTTTCAATTGTATATTTTGGTGACTTACTTGTGTTCATTTTGTGATTTTTACATATTTTTAGGTAAGAGTAAGGAACTAGAGGAGTGAAGTTGATTTGGGTTGTAGGCTTAAGTTTTTTTTTTTATTGAATCTATTGGTCTTTCTCTTTTTTATAATCATGATGTAATTATAGTGATGGGTTATTTTGTATATAGTATCATGGCTATTGATATGTTATTTTGGGCTCGGATCAACGTGCAAATATTGAATATATTTATGTTTTTAATTGTCTACATTAATGCAATGAAAGTAATAGGATTGAGTAGATATTTATAAGATAGAAAAAATGTAATTCTTCCAATTTGCTTTCTCTTGGGGCATTATAATTAGCTTATATGTAAGAGCTTATATGTAAGATGTAAAATTTTTGTACTTGAAAACTGTTTTAGGAAGCGGTAAAAAAAACCATCCCAAACAAAGCCTAAATCCTGTAGGAATTGAATGCACCTTTATTAGGATGGGGTAAATACAAGGAGCATCCTAAATCAAAAGTGAAAGTTGATCTATCTTTAGGTTTCTACTATCATTTCAAGGTGATGACTAAAACTTTGCCTAAGGAGTAGAAGTCCAATTGATGATTATATGTATAATTTAAAATTAATATGAAAATTTATTTGTAATTTTTTTGTTTATATTTATAGGAAGCTTTGAGAAGGATAATTAGAAGTAGGGTTTGATTGGATTCATATTACTATAATCATGCCTAGGATTTTAACATGAATATCTATTCTAGGTTTGCAACCAGAGTTTCCCTAGTCTTGACCCACTTCTTTCAAATTTAATAATCAAATGAATTGAAAAGAGATTGTCCAACTATAAATGTTCCAAGGATATTGATGTGAATGATCTTTTGAGGTTATAGTAAAAGTTGTCCTTAGCCTAAGATCATTTCTCATAGATTATGTCAAATTATCATGTACTAGAATATTCATGATGATAGAGTGAGATTTTAATATCTTAGCATTATACAAAGATCCATCACACATATAGATAAGTTTGTAAGAGATACCAAAGTTTTATATAAATAATCATGTTTGGGTTGAAAGTTTTTGAAAAAATGGTTTTTAAAAGTTTAGTTTCTTTTGGAATTTTAATTCAGAATTTCATTCTCAAAGTCGAACACATCATTATGAATGATATATTACCCCAAGAGGCAAAGACATCATTCCTTAATGAGTTCAGATAATGAAGCTGAAAATTTCACCCGAATTGTAATAATCAAATACAAGGAAGAACTATATTAACCTCAAAGGGTCAAAATAAAATTCTACTAGTATTTAATTATTATAATCTAGATGAAACATCATTATTTTCATATAAGAAATTACTACGATAAATGATATATCTCCTCAAGAGAAGAAGAAATCACCTATTATCGATCATCTGAACATGATGATAATGATCATCGTTGATTTCAATTTTTCCCAAAGAAGACTAATTGAGTTTGAAAAATCAATTCTGAAAACTAGATGTGGGCTCTAAATTTCCTACGATCATAAGCTCTCGTTGTTAATTACATCATAAGAGGTGCCTAAGGCCCATTGACTTTATATAGTGTGAATATGCTTGAAAATGCAATTAAAATTTTAGACCATTTTGATTTTGTTTCTAATGTAATACATGTTAATTGACTCGATAAATGCAAGAATTTATATGAAGTAATTTTAAAATCAGACTTAAAAATATTTTTATCATAAAGATTGCACAACATCCCTTTGACATGACTATACCTTAATAGGTCAAGTGGCCTACCAGAACTCACAAGCGGGGAGGTGCCTAATGTGACGCTCGGAATCTAATTTGAAAGAATTATTCATTTATCTTTTAATAAATAACAATCAGACCTATTTAATATCATTTATAAATAATAAATAGCAAAATAAATTCTATAACTTAAAACATCAATATACACATATATATTCAGTCCCAAAGATCATATATAATACTGAGGACCTATACAATTATATCATAACTATTATGTCTTGAGTACAAAAGAAAAATAAAAAGAAATAGAACCTGAAAAATCCTAACTAGCCTCACACTCTTGCTCCCCTGCCCCAACCTGAAATCATTTAACCAGATATAATGAGCTTTAAAAGCTTAATAGGTCATCAAATCTTACAACTGAATTTTAAGCACGACAAATGAGAAATATGCATATTAACATATATATTATAGTAGTTACATTCATATGATCATTGAATTAGTACAGAAATAGTAAAATTCACATACAATTGTAATAGAATTTATAAATAGTAAAATAATATAGTAAAAGCAAGTAAAGCAATAAACTAATATAAGTGCAAATCTTAAGGCAATCATCGTATCCATAATACTAATCATTACATAAATTAGATAAACCATTAAATCAAAACATCATAAAAGACTACTGAAATCGAATCATTACAGTAAAATTATATAGAAATATACACATGTTATATAGTTATTCTATATCACATGCTTAATATATCACATGTTTAGCATCAGTATCTAAATTAGCAATAACAATAATCCAATGATAGAAGTAATAGAATATTGCAATAATAGTAAATTCGTGCAATAATAATAAATTCGTACAATAATAAGAATAATACCTCAAGAACATGCATTTATATAGTCACAATAAACAAGTAAGAAGTCCTGGCTATTACGGTGTTTTTTAATATTGTATCAATATTAGTAAACCGTTAGCATAATAAACATAGTCGTCACTCTTTATCCATCGGCACAGTAATCATCTCCTTATATGTCCTAATTAATATCACATGAATCAGTAGAGGATAATACCAAATCACAATATTTAAATGAAAGCTC